CGCCTGCTCACACTGTCTCTCTCTCTCCTAGAAATAAATAAAACATTAAAAAAAAATTTTTTTTTAAAAAAAAAGAATCTGACTCTGGGTTTCAGTTCAGGTCATGATCTCACTGCTCGTGAACTTGAGCCTTGCGTCTGTCTGGCTCTGCACTGACTGTGCAGAGCCTGCTTGAGATTCTCTCTCTTTTCCCCTCTCTGCCCCTAACCTGCTCTCTCTCTCTCTCTCTCAAAATAAATATAAGTAAGCTTAAAAAAAAAAAAAAAAAAAAGGAAGGTGTGGCTCAGTGAAGCCTGCAAATGGGAAGTGGAAAGCAGGGTAGGGGGGTCAGGGAGGCAGAGAGCTGGCCGTGCCCTGCACTTAAGGAATTGCTGGGGACATGCAGAGACCTGGGGACCCAGCACTCACGCGTACTAGAACTGATCATGGCCCTGTGTCTCCAGCTCCCGCAGGCCGCTCAGGGCGCTTCACAAGTGCTGACTCACTGAAGGTGTGCGGCATCACATAAAGTTGCTGCGAAAAGCTCTCCCTTTTGCAGATGAGGCCAGAGGAGCGCCCGGAGACGCACCCAGAGCGACAGCAAGGCGGGGATGTCAGCCCAGTCTCAGACACCCACGCACAGGGGTGGGAGGGAAGGATGGAATCTCGGTTGCATACGGCTATAAATCTTGTGTTGTTCGCTCCTAATAATGCGGGGGGGGGGGGCATAGACTCTCCAGTACATAAAACTCACAGATAATCCCCGAATCTAGGAAGTGCCAAGGACTCTCATGGTAGACCTCTCCGGGCCCTGGAGTTCACAGACACTAAAAACGGGGCCAAGAGGGAGCATGGGAAAAGAAGTGAATGGTTTGAATCCAATTCCTAGTCCCCAACCCCAAGATTTGGATTCTAGGCTGCACCTGGGAATCTGTATTCTAATTTTTTTTTTTACATTTATTTATTTTTGAGAGACAGAGGCAGAGCATAAGTCGGGGAGGGGCAGAGAGAGAGGGAGACACAGAATCTGAAGCAGGCTCCAGGCTCTGAGCTGTCAGCACAGAGCCCCATGCAGTGCTCATACCCACGACCAGTTAGATCATGACCTGAGCCGAAGTCAGACGCTTCACCACCTGAGTCACCCAGGTGCCTCAGGAATCAGTATTCTAAATTTTCCTCATGGTTCTGATGCTCTAAGACTTGGGGGACAGTGGTGGGAATGGCCCGTGAACTGGAAAATCAAGCCTCCCATAAGCCAGTGGCCTCGGTTGCACAGAGAAGTAGAAAGAGCCCCCACTGGGAGCCAGGGCTCTGAATTCCAGTTTTGACTTTGCTTGTACTCTGGGGACAGTCACTGGCATCCAGACCCTTCAGTTTTCTTATCTGTGAAATAGAAAAATGGGCCAAAATAATCCCCAAACTGTTCCTGTGATGAATTTATCTGATTCCATGACAGTCGAATTTCTTATTCAGTAAGGGTAAGAGTATTTTTAAAGGAATGGGGATCAATTCCCCAAAGGGGAGTTGCCATAGTTTTAGTATCTCTTCCTAACTCTGCTTAGGAATTTTGGCAAGACCTTCCAACCAGCTCTTGCATCTTCCTTCCTTCCCATCACAGGGACCCTTAACGCCGGTGACGCATGGGCCTTCCACTTCTTTTCCGACTCTCAGAAATTTCCCCTCTGACTCTTGCTCTTTCTTTCCCAGAAACCCCAGAAAATGGCAGTTTTCAATCCTGGCTGTGTATAGGATCACCTGGGAAGCCCTTATGACTTATTGACACCAGGCCTTCCCCCCAGACAACTGAATCAAAATTTGGGGGGGGTGTGTGGCCTAGGCATCTGCATTTGTGAAGCTCCCCAGTTGATTGCAATGCATGAGAACGTTGGAGGCAGCTCCCCGGAGCTGGTGTGAAAGCAGGGGTGATGGGTCTCAAGGTTCCTCTTTACTCAAGTAAGAGAGCGGAAGTGTAGGGTGGAATTTACAGTATTGCCAAGTCTTCTCTGCCTAGACCCACACATCGGTATTGTAGATACGCTACATCGATGTCCACAGCATCGAATACACCGTGGAAGGGAAATGAAAACACCAGAAAACACCAGGCTACCTGGCACCACCATACGCCCGCCAGTGGGCCTGAGTCAAGTGTCCCAAGTCCAGTCTTCCCGTTTGCAGAGTGAGCCCAGCTTTTCCCTCTTGACCTTACAGCATTATTAGGTGAATCACATGATGCAATGCATGTGAATTGGCTTTGTACATGATAAAGCACTACACAAGTTGAAAGGATTTTAGGCACCTCGCATGTTGAAGGAGTTCACATATTCAACGAAAATATGTCGGCTCTTTCCCAATGAATGCATGGATTCAGTGCAACATCAATACCAATCAAAATGGCAGCAGCCTTCTTTATAGAAATCCGCAAACTGATTCTAAAATTTGCATGGAAATGCCAAGGACCTTGAATTGTCAAAATAGTTTTGAAAAAGAAGTACAGCCTTGGAGGACTCACATTCCCTGGTTTTGAAGCAACAGCAATCAAGATAGTGTCTCAGTGCAAAGGTAGGCGAGTAGTTCAGTGAAATGAAATCCCAAGATATATCTGCATATATGTGGCCAGGTGATTTTCTATGAAACTGACAACACAGTTTGATGGAGAAAGGATGATTTTTTAACATGATATTGGAACAACCAGATAGCCATAGTTGAGATATGTATATGTATATACCTAAGTCTCCTAGGAAAGAAGAAATAAATTATAAAACTATGGCATCTCCATAGAATGGAATACTATTCAGAAAGAAAAGAGGCATGAACTAGAGCCATATATGTTAGCGTGGATGCACCACTAAAATATACTAAGCGAAAGAAGCCAGACACAAAGGCTCCGTATTATTTGATTTCGCATATGTGAAATTTTACAAAAAACCAAAACTATAATGATAGAAAGCAGATCAGACAGAAACCTGCGAGGGGTCAGGGGGTGGGAGGCAGGGATTAAATATAGAGGGGCTTAAGGGAACTTTGGGGAGATGGAAATTTTCTATATCATGATCGCAATAATGGTACACAGCTGTAAACATTGGTCAAAACTCACTGAATTGTAATTAAACATGGTGAGCTTCACTGTATGCAGATTATCTTTCAAAAAAGCTGGCAAAAAATTATCGGAGTCTTTTGCTTGTCAGGTACTGTGCTGGGCACATCAGGATGAATCAGACACGACCCCTCCCTGCAAGCACTCGCAAATAAGCGCAACACATCACTGAAAGTGCTGTGGTAGAGACTGCACGCAGAATAGAATGAGGTTGATTCTCACCACAGGAGGGAGAGCAGGCTAGGTGGTATTTGAGCCAACTCTTAAAAGATAGGTAGCTATTTGCCAAGTAACAAAGGAGAGCAAAGCAATTCTAAGCAGCAAGAGCCAAAGAACAAAACCTCGCAAGCTGGAAATAGCTAGACACATTCCAGGAAAGGCGAGTGGTTGGTCAAAACCTAATTTTCCAGGAACAGCGTGTCCGGAGATGAAAATGTTGAAGAGTCTCCTACCACATGTTCAGGCACTCAAGTTTCATCCTATAAACAAAGAGAAACTACTGAATAGTTTTGAGCTGTAATGAGCAGGTTCAGTGTGGCGTTTTATAAATATTACTCTGGAAGACAGATTGAAGGGTGGTAGCAGGTAGATTGAAGGCTAAGAAGCCAATTAAAAGACTATTGCCGTCACTCAGATAAACAGTGAGTTTTGTTCTGCAGAGTAACGTCAGGGCAAGAGTCATGAGAGATATTAAGGGAGCATAGCCGGATGTGTTTGGGGGTGCTGCATAAAAGAATGATGGAGAGTCAAACAGTACTCCTTGGATTCTAGCTTGAGTGACTGGGTGGCTGGTGGTGGCATTTTTCAAGATGGCAGATGCGAGGAAGAGCAAGTGTGGATGGGAAAGATGAGTTCATGGGTTGGTGCTTGGTTAACTTTTGTACAGTCCATTCTAGAAGAGTGTCTACAAGGAACCTGAATACCCAAGAGTAAAATTCAAAGAGATCTAGCCTAGATGTATGTATACCACAAGTGGCCGTGTGGTAGTAAAATTGACGGGAGAAGAACGGAGAGGTCAGAGGTTTAGGGGATCTTGGTGAGCACAGCACACAGACAGACTGATGGGGTAGGGGTGGTAGCAGATGGGAGTCAAGAGTAAGGTACTCAGAGGGAAGGGTTTCAGAGGGAAGAGAGTTCTGGGTGATGCCAACATCCAAGCTATGGAAACCCGAAGTGAAGGAGCGGGAAGATCATTGGTGCCCAGGCTACGGTGTTGTGTAAGTCTTTCCATGAGTGTTAAAGTTCCCAGGATGCTGTGGGAGAAAGGAGTGCCATGGGGGAGGCATCAAAGTCCTCAGTGAATGAGGGTAGGGAGTATAGGGCCAGAGGCTGTCAGCCATATGTGTGGTGGGCTGGGCTTCAAGGTTTGTGCCTGAGGAAGAGGGAGCTGCTGCCCACTGAGGGCTCTAAGATGAAAGAAAGTGGGGTGTCCATTTCAGAGAGAGGGTAGGGGATATTCTTGGGCTTCAGCCAGGTTTCCTGTAACGCTAGGAGGTGGAAGAGGTTGGAAATGAAGGTACAACGGATTTGGATGATAGCAGAGCACGGGTTAGGAGGGGGTAGCTGCCGGGAAATCGGGGGAAAGGCAGCACTGCATTGTCTGGGCAGAAGAGAAAACTTTGAGCCTCCCTCCTGGGCTGGTGGCAAGATGGCGGCTGTGGGAGGCGAGGGCCGGGTTTGTCGGCCTCACAGTTCTGGGCAGCTAACTGTGGAGACCTTCGGGGGTCTTAGACCCAAACAATATATGTAAAATTTAGTAATGGGAACCTCACTACAATGGAGGTTGGAGGCTTCTGGAAGGAAGGGAGCTCATGACCTACCCCTTGAAGTCTATTGCAGACCAGATAGGAGGAGCCAGACTTGACCTTGCGTGTGGATACCACCTACTAATCCTGCAGAAGGAAGAGACCTTTCCTCATCGCCAGACAGCTGACCGGCCAGTGAAAAGCCACCATTCTTGGAACCCCAAGTTTACTCCTATAGACTTTTCATTTATGACAGGCTTCCTCAATTACCCCCCCCTTTCGCCTTAAAAAAAGGGGGGGATGCATGTCTCCTTCATTCTCCCAATGTGCCTATAGTTTTGCCACAGCTTGTTTGTCCCAGAATACAATTCTCTTTCATCCCCGGATGAACCCATCTTTTACTGGTAAAATAACTCGCCGTTTCTATTTTTAGGGTTAACAAATGTGATGGGGAGTTTTGTTGATGCGCCGAGATCATGCTGGGAAGAGACTCCTGCCCCGGAGAATTGTAAGGATGCTGGAACATTTACCACTTGCTGGAAATACTTGCTGATGGTTAATTAAAGGACAAAGACTCAGTAAAGGGTGAAGATTAGGCCGATGGGTCCCTCAATAGGTATTTGTTTAACTGGATTGGAATAAAGAGCGGAGCTCATGTGTTCCTTGTGGAATAAGAGGACCTCAGAGCTGGAAAGGCCTAGAAGAGACACATATTGTGGAAACATCTAGTGTATCTGTTGCGCGTGCGTCTTGTGTGTGAGAGCGCCGCCGCGCTCATTTTAGTGACCTTCACGCGTGTGCGGTCCCCTGCTCCTGACTGCCCCCCAGCGCTGCCCCCCGGGGTGGCCCTTCAGCTAGCTCAGACTCCGGTTCCTTCCGCAGGCTCTTTCCCTCCAGCTCTAGCTCTTTCCATCTCCCTGCACGAGCTCTTCTCTTTTCTTGGCAGGAAGCTTCCCCGTGTCTGCCTGGCCACTCCACTCATCCTGCAGGTTCTTTCCGGCTCCCAGGCGTGCTTCGGGGCCCCTGCAGCTCGTGCTCACCCTACTCTCTCATCAGAGCCATAGTCATGTCACAAGAGAGTTGCTTGCTGCGATATTGTGATTTGTAAGAAATGCATGTTTGGTCATTCAGACGACTAGCCTAGACTTCTCATATGTGCTTGGTCTTTGTCCACAGTTCCTGGCCCACAGCTCCCAAGGCTCTTGGTCTCTGTCTATTCTGTGTCTTTGCACCCAGCTCTTCTGAGCCTCCGGGTCTCAGGAATTGATTCAATGCACGGATTTTGAAGCCAGATACACCCTGGACTCAACTTCCAGGACTGCCACTGGTCAGCTACTAGCCCCTGTCCTTGGGCAAGTTACTTAGCCTCTTGAAGCCTCAGTCTCTATTTATGACATGGAGGTGATGAGGGCAGTGGTGTGTGAAGGTGGAGAGTAAGCAGTAATGTTCGGAAATGCCAACGAGACCATGGATACCAAAACCATTGCGGGTTTAAAAAAAAATAGATTCAGAGATTCTCTTACCTCCTAGATCTATTCAAATCCTGATGAACAGATTCCCACCACTTTAAAAACCAGAATGTCAAATTATTAGCTCACGCTAAGAATGCCAAGCAGACCAGACACCATGTTACCTCACCACCACCCCCCCCCCCCCCGGGGACAGTGCCAGGGACATACTGAGAAATTCTCATTACCCACCTCACATTTCTTAGACTCTGTTATGACTAGTATGCCTGTCTTCGCCATGTCATCTTAGCTTCTTTTCACAGCATGTCACGTTTCCAAGTGAATTCACGCTGAGCTATGATAGCAAAAGTCTCCTTATTTTAAACCTTCAGTCAAAGAGGGCGACCCTTCCCTGAACTTCGAGTCCAAGATCTTGGGCTCCGTCTCCCTTTGAGAACCGAACACCCCCCCCTCCACCCCCCTCCACCCCGCTCCAGTCCATTAATGACACTGTTTATCCTCAAAGGAAAGAAAAGCAGGTTTTTATTTATGGGCCAGATGATGTACCACATAGGGTTGCAAAGAATTCCCCACTGGAAGTCTCAGCAGCCGTGAGCCAAGTGCGTTAGTCAAAGACACTATTGATACGAGGGAACAGAACTGAGTGTCCTCAGCTGCCCTGAGAATGTCTTTCCTGAGGTATTTGTCTGGGAGGAGGTCTGATATTTCTGACATTTGCTAGGGAGCCTATGGGACTGTCGTCTTAAGCAAGGAAGCAGCTGGGAGCTCTCTCCCACAATCAGCCCTGAAATGTTGTGAAATTCCGTTGTTTTCCACAGCGAGTGCAGGGGCCCCGAGAGACGTGACAGCGGGTCTTTACAGAATGCTTAAGTCACACCTGGTTCCGGGACCCAAGCGCTGGCCAAGCGCGCTCTGTTCTGTCTTCCCCCCTCCCGCGTCTCTCTCTCTTCTACCCTTCCTCCAGCTTCCCTTGTGCGTGTCTACCTCCACAGACTTTAATAAAACCTATAATGAAGGTTAAATATGTTTAGGATAAAATGTACTTTTGTTGTAACTCCTTTTAAATGAAAGAAAAATTCTGAAAGGTCAGGGATGTATCACAGGAGTATCAGGAAGGAGCAAATCTCCAACATCTTATTTCAGAAAAGAAACTTCAACTCTGGTTTTTTAGGGTTACGGTCCCCACAGAGCTAAGTATCACACGTTAGACTCAAATTCCGAGGACGCTGGCTGTGATCAGCTGGATTGTTCATTTTTTCCCGAGTAAGGAGATACAGAGCGCGTTGTGTTTGGGGGCGTCATGTTTAACCCAAATTCATAATGTGCTTTCTTGCCCGGTTCTGGTTTGGGATGACGGGGCTGCTCTCGTGGGTAGCAGGCTTGAGAGATCTAATAAAACACAGGGATTAGCATCACAAGTCTCAACAGTGGCAATGATGAAACTTCTAAGGCATCAAGCACAACAACCCAAAGAGCTACCCTTACAAAAGTGTGGCTTTCCAACAGCTAAAATCATTTCTTCCTTAAGGAAATGTGATGGGGTTGTCGTTTGACCTAGTCTCCTTCAGTTGCTGAGCTGTGGATGGGGTGCTCATCAGCTCAGTGGAGGCAGGTTAGTCAGGGAGTTTCTTAACTCTTTCCTCTGAATCCACGTAGTGATGCTTCCAACATCCCGTCCTCACAATCCTGCCTCCCTCCATACCCCCTCCTGGCACGGCGACGCCCGGACTTCCCTAAACTTTGGGTCTGCTTCCTCTCCCTTCCCCCCAACTCCTATCCCTCTACCGTAACCCACTTTTCAGTCTCCCTGCCTAGACACATGCTTGCCTTCCCCATCTTGACAGAGGTGAAGTGTTTCACAACTGGCTGGGCGTGAGGGCAGGTGGCTGATCGGTAGCATTTGCCAGTGTCTGTAGTGTAAACCCATCCATCGTGGGAGTATTTCAAGCCAGTTGAACAAGAAGCTCACGTAATCTCTGAAAATTTAAACCAGCTCTCCCAGACGTAGGAGGGTTCTGGGGCATCACGGCAGCCTTCTCTTGGCTCTGCCTTAACCTGAGCTAGCTTTCTTCTATTTGTTGTAGAACTTCTCAAGGAGGAATCCACAGTCACTGATTGTAGCTCCTAATGCCGTAGTCTCTCTCTCTTTTTTTTTAATTTTTTTAATGTTTTTATTTATTTCTAGGAGAGAGAGAGAGACAGCGTGAGCAGGGGAGGGTCAGAGAGAGATGGAGTCACAGACTGAAACAGGCTCCAGGCTCTGAGCTGGCAGTCAGCACAGATCCCGACGCGGGGCTCGAACCCACGAACCGCGAGATCATGACCTAAGCAAAAGTCGGACGCTTAACCGACTAAGCCACCCAGGCGCCCCACCGTAGTCTCTCTTTACAATCTGGGTTTCACCTCTTCAAGATCCTTGGGATGTGGAATCCAAAATTAAAAAAAAAAAAAAAAAAGGAATCCAGCAACAAAAATGAGGAAGAGTATAAAAGAGATACCATCAATGGGATTTGAATGGCAAACTGACACTCGTTCCTTGTTTCTTTAGCCTTCATACCACCGGTCACTAGTGACCTCCCCTCTACCAGAAACTCTTCTTTCTTCTTTTCCTTTTTTTTTTCCTTTGGCATTAAAAAAATTGAAGTATGGTTGCCACACAATGCTACATTCATTTCAAGTGTACAACATAATGACGCTACAACTCTATGCATTAAGTTGTGCCCACCGCAAGTGTAGCTACTATCTGTCGCCATGTAGCCCTATTATGATATCGTAGACTTTATTCCCTATGCTGTGCCTTTCATCCCTGTGACTCACTCACTCCATAACTGGAAGCCTGTACCTCCCGACCCCCTTTGCCCATTTTGCCGATCCCCCTACCCCCTCCTCTCTGGCAACCATCAGTTTGTTCTCTGTGTCTACAGGTCAGTCTCTGGTTTTTGTTTTTCATTTGTTTTTGTTTTGGTATTTCTCTTTCTATGTCTGATTTATTTCACTTAGCATAATACCCTCTGGTCTGTCCATGTTGTCACAAATGGCAAGATTTCATCCTTTTTATGGCTACGTAATATTCCATTGTATATACACACCACATCTTCTTTATCCACGCATCTACCAGTGGACACTTGGGCTGCTTCCATACCTTGGTTATTGTAAATAATGCTGAAATAAACATGGGGCACATACATCTTCTTGAATTAGGAGGTCTCCCCTCATTGGCTTCTGTAAGGCTGCACCTTCCTGTCCCCCATCTCTCCAATATGCCTTCCTCCTCTGTCACCTCTTCTTCCTCTGTCCCCACAACGTCCACATCCCCAGAGCTCTCCTCCATCCTCTCCTCTTCCCTTCATCATCTCCATCAACCTTGACGTTGGTGACTCACAAGCAGATCTTTCTACCTGAGACCTCTCTTCGGTGCTCCAGTTCAGTATCCCAGCTACCGGAAGTTTCTTTCCTCCCAGAAATGTCCAGAATAGACTCCACCAGCTTGACCTCCACATCTTCTCTACTGTCTTCATTTTTCCTGTTTCTGTTAAAGGCACCACCATGCTTGCAGTCACGAAGGCCACAAATACCATAGACAGAGTTCCTCTACACTCTTGACACATATATTCTGCTTATTGAATCTCCCAGCTACCACAGTTGAGGCCATCATTACCTACTGTCCTATCTTCGGGCCTCTGGAGTTGATAAGAGTTCCTCTTCAGTTGGAAAGAAATCCAGGGGCACCAAGATGGCTCAGTTAGTTGGGCATCTGACTCTTGATTTGGGCTCAGGTCATGATCTCATGGTTCATGGGATGGAATCCCATGTCGGGCTCCTCACTGACAGCACAGAGCCTGCTTGGAATTCTCCCTCTCTCTCTGCCCTCCCCCCATTCTCCCTCCCTCTCTCTCTCTCAAAATAAATAAAATTTAAAAAATAAAA